AATAAGTTACGCATCACAGTACTTGGTTCTCTAATTCAGCTTCATCATCTTCACTTAAGTCTTTTAACTTCATTTTTGTCTCCTTCTTTTTGCCGCCGAAGAAATCATCATACCTACTTATCATTGATAAGGAAAAACAATCTTATGACAAATCAACAGCGATACTGCTCCAAACCCAAGGAAAAAAATTGCAGCCGATTTGAATACAAAGTGGTATGTGTATTGTCCAATAAGAGAGCATAGAGACCATACCTTGCCTTTCCTAATTTATCTGCCTCTTCGTCATCACCACCAGCAAAAGCTCCAAACTAGAGGACGAGAACAATAAAAGATCAATCGAGCTAATTGTAATAAACCATTCCACTTTATATTCTTGAACACTGAAGTAAGTGCTTACCTCATCATCATCTTCTTCTTCATCCTCGTCCTCCTCATCATCATCATCATCGCGCAAATTTTGTTTCTTTCTCTTTGCTACCCCTTTCTTGTTTTTGTAGTCTAGTCCATACTCTTCTGCTTCACCCTCCTCCAAAAACTCCTCCAATTCTTTTATCTTGAAGAACTTGTCCTCTATTCCTTCATGGTCTCCACTCTTTTCCTCCTCATCTTCCTCTACATCATCTTCTTCTTCTTCTTCCTCATCGCCCTCCTCTTCTTCATCTCCTTCGCTTTCAGTAGCTTCTAGCTCATCATCATCCATATCCATCTCATCAACATCATCATCTTCATGAGAAACCTTGAGGGCCAAATTCCCAAGTTTACGAATCTCTTTAGGGTTTTGAGCAAATCTCTTAACGTCCTGCCGCAAGGACGACAACAACGGTTGACACTGCAAATCAATTTGCTGCCAAATCTGCTCAGCATCAAACCCATCAACCAAGAGCTGATCAAATGGAGATTTAGGGTTAAACGGCTTCAACTTCTCGAAGAGGTACCGAGATGCAGTACGAGCCACCTCAGATATTGAACTTGGCGCAAGAAAAACTGGTGGTTCAGTTGACATAAGCTTCTCAAGGGCTTCAAAGCCCGAAGCTTTTGCAATCGACATAGATTAAGCAACCAAACTTATCAAATCGTTGCTTCCTCAGTGCCCCCAAGAAATTAGGGTTTATCGATGGCGGTGAGGAAGGTATTTTAAACGCCGGTTAGGTTTTGGAAGAGGAACACAAAGAAGAGAAACCTCAACGAGTATCTTCAAAAACCCTGATGATGCCTAATTAAGAAAAAAAAAAAGTCCCCGGTGCGAAACCTCTTAATCAGCTAGAGAATTTCGACCTCAGTTATTGGGTCACTATATGGACCTTTTAAGATTGGGGTTTGGCCCAGATAATATTCAATCACTACAATGCTGTGTTTGTTCATTCATACATCACTAGGTTCGGATCCGTGATACAGCGCGGAGGAAATAATTACATATATATAACTTTTAACAGATTATAATATGTTACATTTTAATTTTGTTACAGTGCAGTCGATTACGGTAAATCATATATTTGTATAATAAGTTTAAATAAAATAATAAAGGAAAAAGCAAGTAAATAATCATATACTGATTTTTGATACAATTAAAAACACAGTGAAAATTTAACAGCACGAAATAATATTTGTCGATAAATTATATACCACATCGGAATCACTTTTTGTACTTGAAAATTTAACAGCACGAAATTGACCCGACACGGAATCACTTTTTCACTACAAGAAAACATTATGATTTCCTACGCATTTTTCCTTCCAACGGATTTGGTAGGAAAGTTTCATACCAAAAACATACACATTTTTTACGAAAACAATAAAGTGTAGGAAAAAGGTAGAATATTTACTACAAAACATAGTGTTAGAAAGTCGTATGAGATTTTCCTTCCAAATACCTTTAAAAAATAGTTTGGTAGGAAAAGTCGTAGGAAAAGTACAGTAATATAGAAAGAAAATATGCGGAGAGTATTTGGTAGGAAATGTTCCTTCAAACTTCCTTCGCTCGTAGCGTTGAAGGAAACCTCGAAGGAAATATGAGAAAACGTTGAAAAGAATATTTTTGTAGGAAAGTAGAAAGAAATATTTTCGTAGGAAAGTAGAAGGAAATATCTAATATATATATATATTGTTCTTCATCCCATTTTGTATTTATAAAATATATTTGCATAATTCTAAATTAAAATTTCATGATTTATAATCCCTCAAAAGTACTAAGCAATAATATTGTAATTTATTTTCTTTCAATAAGAAATTTGAAGTATTAAAAATCATAGTACTTACACATTAAAATTTTAATAAAATAAGCAAAAAATATTTGAATTTTTTATTTTGTAATAAGATAATTTAAAAATTATTAACCATAATCCTAAATAGTATCTAATATATTTAAAATATTGAGTTAAACCAAAATTATATTGTTAAATATAGTTTCTGTAAGAATTCAATACGGAGGTTTTCTTTAACATCTATTTATTATGGAGGTTTATGTTTTATAATCTACTCATTTTTATTTTAATAAGAATATCAAAATTTTTGTATTATCTTTATATTTAATTTGATGTTTATAAATATAATAGTAAACTAGGGATGGACCCGCACGTACGTGCGGGGTTGGTTGCAAAAATTAAGTTTATACACTGGCCTGCTGAATTTAATTTTCTAAATTTTTTATATCATTCTTTTTTATAAGAAATAGTTCAGATAATTTATTTTTAGAATTACATGTTCCCTTTTTGTATCCGTATTTTCCCTCTAAGATATGATTGTATATTTTTTATATAAATGAAATCATTTACATTTCTTTTTTAAAACAATAGTATATAGCTTGTAATTAACTAATTAAATTACCCGTTCTTTTTCTGTATCCATTATTTCGTGTACTGATATTTGAAATTATAAAGTAATTTGAAACTTACCTTTGCTATTTAATTTCATACTCATGTATCATACCCGTCATCTGATATTTGAAAGTTGAAATTGAATTGAAGTTTCCAAATTTTTTATATCGTCTTGTTTTTTATGAGAAATAGTTATATAATATTTTTTATATTACCCGTTTTTTTTTTGGAAATAAAAATAACTATTTTATTCCATTTTAATCATAATTATTTTATTTTATTTATTTATTTGTAACATACATTAACTATTTAATTCTTTTTGTGGATTGGCAATGTTATATTATATGGAAAATATAATAATCATGTGATATGATTTCCTGAACTTTCTTAAAACTATTAAATGCTAATTCCATATTAGTTAATATCCAGCAAGATTGGGGAGTTAATATATTATTAAATTGATGTTAATAATAAGGAATATTTATTTGACGATTTTATTTTTGGTCACATGTTATTTTGGTTTTTATTTTATTTCAAGGAAATATATAAATATCTTTTTTGCTATATTTTCGAAAAATATTTTCAGTATGAAGATTTTAAATGTGAAAATAAGAGATTGTATGTGATACAAAATATTTATTAGATTGATTTCTGAAAAAAAAAATTATTATGGACTTTTTAAAGATTTTTTTAACTAAAACATTTTATTTATTTATTTAAGACTTTATCATTTTAAAAATTATTTAAGATAATATCAATTTTGTTGAATATTGCTCCATATTTTATGCTATTGTAAAATATATAACATATTTATTTTTATTTTATATTTTTCTTTTTATTTTTCCTAAAATATCAATTTAAAGCAAAATATATATATGATGATTTTGTAACGCAACATAAATATATATCATATCAAAAGAGTTATACAAAATACAAATAACATAAACACTTGAATAAAATCACTAAACAAAATAAAAAATACTATAAATTAGATTTTATTAAATATTAAATTATTTTTTAAAAATATCTCAAAATTTTTTAATATGTTATATATGGAGATTTTCGAATTTAATTGTCCACTTTTTTGGCAACAAAATTAGTATGATACATAAATATAGATAGTTTCTGTTTTTTATTATTATTCTTTTTAAAAAATAATTGCTGTTTTTAATTTTGTTTGGCAACATGTTTTAATTTTATGACATTTTTTAAAAACAATTGGGTCTGTTTGTACACAGCTTGTCTTTCTGTTTTAATAGTATAGATAGAAATTCTATATGTTTATAATCTCAAAATGTAGTTTATGATTTGATAAAACAATTATTTAATATTTGATAATAGTAATGATATGCAAATTGCCAATGGATGAAGATTTATTTTGTTAAGATTGTGTGAAATTAATAAGAAAAAGAAGTTTAGAATAATCATTAACTAACTGTTTGACCAAATAAAAATCATTAACTAATTGAATTAATGATAAATTTTGTAGATATCATTTTTGCTATAATTGCTAGATTGATTTTTGAATATGAATATTTTTTATGTGAAAATAAGAAATTTATTTGATCTAGAATGTTTATTCGCATTATTTTAGCAAACAAATATTTAATTATTGATTTATTTATATTTTATTTATATTTTAAAATTATATAATTTTTTAAAATTTGATGATATGATCAGTTATGTATATATATTATGTAGAATTTGATTAGTTGATTATTTCATATCCTAACATATTTTTTTATCTTTTTATATAAATTATTAATTTCGAAATTATATTAAAATATTAAATTAATACTAAATATGTTTATGTATATTAAAATAGATATGTTTACATATATTTAATTGTCCACTTTTTATGGTAAAATATTATTATGATTTCCATAAATATAGATTATTTTTGTTTTTTTTTTTGTTTTTTTTTTTTTTGCTGTCATTAATTATGTTTGGCAACTTGTTTTATTTTCATGAAATTTTTTTTTTAAAATTGGGGTGTTTGGCTTCAAGTTGTCCTTCCCAATTAATAGTATAGATTTTCTTAACAATTTTATAATTTTCTTTGTTAACAATATTATTGGGCTTTATTCACATGTAATCAAATGGACCTGGTGGATCCATTAAAGAAAAAAACGAAAATAACCCTACAGACTAACCTTTTTGTTCATCGCTTCTTCTCTGTCTGGTCATTCGTTGTCTTTGTTCTTTATTTCTCATCAGAAACGATCCAAATCGATACTACACTGAGATCACCTTCTCTAATCTCATCTTCTTTCTCTTTTGCTTCCTCGTGTTGGATCACGGTTTTTGCTTTAGAGTAGATCTCGATCTCGAACTGTTTTTACTCTGTCTCTCTGCTCACAAAGTTGCAATCTTGGGGGGAGATATAAGGCAACCCTTTTCTCCTCTGGTTAGTTTTTATAAAACCCTTTTCTTCTTGTTAGTTTTATATTTCTTTCTGATGTATCCCCTTGATTAATTTAATGTTTGGTTTAGGTACTTCAGAACTGATAAGCAAACGTACGTTCAATGACGAGTCTAGGTTACTTTTGCAATCATGAGTGATGTTTGTTTTGTACAAATGGGTCAATGACGAGTCTGTTTTTTAAAGTTCTGTTAGAATCGTCAATGGTTTTATAAATAAAACCCTTAATCTCAAGATTTCAGATTTTTTTTAACTAGTTTCATTATGATATGCTTTATCTATGTTGTGTCTTTAAATCTGAGGATTCAGTGAATTAGATATGAATTTAGTGTTTAGTAATTAGAACTAGAGACTCGAAACTTAGGCTTGTGTTTAAACTCAGTGTTCAATGGAGGATTAGTATGATTGGTAAAAATGTTGAAACTTGAGCTGTGGAAGGACCTCTTGAGAGTCCTTCTAGTTCTAGAAGCTTTTACTGGAATTGAGAGGTTGCTTTTTGGAGATAGTGTGCCAACATCTCTTCAACGTGCTTTTAGATAGTGTGTAAGAACTCTTTTTGATTATAAATGATAACTTGCTCTTCATAAACTCTTTTTGTAAATTAACTTTATTGAATGTGATGTTTTTCGACTGTGTCTATGTGCAGGTTCAAGGACCAATACAAAAAGGAAGAACTTGTTGGTGATGCTATTTGTCAAAGACGTTGATGTCTGAATTTGTTCCACTGCAACAAAGATCTCTTCTATTCCAAGTAAGCATCTAATTCTTATTGTCAAACTTCATCCAGCGTAATTAGAGAATCTTCAGCATGCTATTTTGTTGTGCCAAGTTTTCAGATCTTACTCTTGTTTTGTTTGATGCTTTATATGTCTCGACCAAAACACTGTAGCTTACACGTTCGTGTACCATTATTTTTGCAGAGATTCAGGACAAATTAACTTAGACGTAGAGCCTATTGAACATGTAAGTTAGAAGTTATCGGAGTTATCTCCTTAATACATTTTGACCATTCAGCTAGTTGAAATTGTTTTGCTCTGTGATTTAGGAGGATGGACAAGGCCTGAAGGGGTCAAGACTCATTCTCTTCAAGTATCTCATGGAATGCAACAAGGTTCTCCTCGAACACTTTTTTGATTTGCGACCACCTACTTATCCGGAGGATCCGAATTTGACTCCGACAGTCCATGAAGATGACGACGATGAGACCCAAGAGTAATGATTTCTGGTTATTTTTAAAACTTGAACATTTTTTTCTGTTTTTTTGGTTGTTTATTTGTATTTTTAGGTTGTTTGCTTATCAAAACTTTGTTTGTAAATACATTCATGTTTCTATATATAATTTTCTGTTATTTTCATCGCTTTAAATATTTTTTTTGGTCAATTTAATAATTTATAATCGATTTAAAACTGTATTTTGTAATTTATTAAATATTTAGAATTTCCTACCAAATACATTTGAAGGAATGCTGAAGGAAAATTTGTAGGAAACTGGAGTGAAAAAATTCGTAAGAAATTGGAATGAATAGAGTTTTCGTAGGAAAATAGAAGGAAAAGTTTTAGTAGGAAATTAGAAAGAAAATGTTCCCTACGCAATATTGGAAGGAAAAAGGTCAGAATTTCCTACGGAAATACCTACAAAATTTCCTTCAGCGCGTTTTTGGTAGGAAATTTCCTACCAATATCCTTCCATCTACAATTTCCTACGGGCGATTTCCTACCATTTATTTGTAGGAATATCGTAAGAAATGACTGTTTCCTACCATTTTTTCACGCAACTGACCGTAGGAATTTGCTTTTTTTCTTGTAGTGAATTTGTACTTCTCTTTTACTAATATAGGAATTCAGATTTCAGAGTTTGAGACATTAGAAAACCTATAGATTACGATATATTGACTGAACTACGACACGTTGGTATGCATATACTCAATTGGCCTGGGCAAAATACCCGAACTTGAAAATCCGACCCGAACCCGAACCCGAAATCTAGAAATACCCGAACGGGTTCTATATCTCTAAACCCGAAAGTCCGAACCCGAACGGATATCCGAATACACCCATAATATAAATATATCATAATAATTTATTAATAATATATATCTATTTGTAATAATTTAATTCAAAATTATCCAGTTTTCATATATTTTTGATTGTTTTGAAGTTATAAACTCTTTTTTTAATAAATATAAGTAAAAAATTATTTAAGTTTTGAAATTTTTTTAGTAGTTTGGACATATTTGGATAATCAAATTTTGAATTTTGAGAATTTCGGGTAATCCCGATCCGAACACGATCCGAGCCCGAACGGGTACCCGAACGCCCATGCCTCAAACGGGTTATATATCTCTAAACCTGAAAACCAAACGGGTTATATATCTCTAAACCTGAAAACCAAAAAATCCGAAATACCCGACCCGAACCCGAACGGGTACCCGAACGCCCATGCCTCAAATTCAAAACTTGTTAAAACTACAAACATTTAAACATTCCAATCGGTTTTATAAGAGTTTGAAATCCGAAAACATCATCGATGCTTAGAATTATGTTATGGTAAATCTGTGTTTTATCCACTTACAATATAAATGATTGATGGGATTAGAGATCTTAAAGTATTAATTTAAGCCTTCCTACATAAATCAAAAGGAGCCTTCCTACATAAATCAAAGGAGTTGGGCTACAACAACACATCGTTGATGAATTTTTCTGTGAGTTCTTTGGAAAGTCCCATGACAGTATCAACTCCTCCCACCTACAACATTACAAAAAAATCAAACTCCTTCAGTGGTGTGTTATCATATGCTGCTGAAACAGAAATGAACTAAACAGCTATAGATCAAATACGAGAGCTCCTTTTGTCAAGGGCACTAACCACGGAATCGACAAATGGTGAAATGAGGGGATGCTCCAGCATCGCACCTCCAGCAACCGTGTAAGTTATTGCATCATCAATCTGAAGATCAAAGAACATATGTTTAAAACAAACTAGTTTCAATAGATCGGTAGTAAGAAAAACTAGTGTTTTGAAGAGTTTTACAAGTTCGTCGATGACTCGTTCTGGTATTTCATGGAAATAAACCTGCATCACAACAACATTCACATCACCACAAAAAGTTTGAAAAAAGAAACAACAACAAAAAGTTGAGCAAAGAAGCAAAAATTGGAATCTAAGTTGGACAAAAGAAACAACAACAAAAAGTTGAAAAAAAGAGAAGGATAAACTAGAATCTACAAGAAAAAATTTGTGTAGTGTGTACCTCTGCTTTGTCCCATCCTCCTCTTCTAACACCAGTTTTCAAATTCCATACAAGAACGGATCCCACAACACCTCCGTGTGACCCAGAATAGCCTATGTAGATTTCAAACACAACTCTTAATCATAAGTGGCTAGTATCATAGAACACCTGAAATCAATCAACTTGCACAAAACCTTTGATAAATTCACGAGCTTCTTCTTTGCTAGTTGGTTTCTCTCTAATGACACCTTTGTACACAACAACCTAGGAAACTCTATCACCATAACATCAGCACCAAGATAATTTTTTTTTTAAATAAAATAATCACAGAACAAATACTAATCCAAAACTGTTGAGGCATTATAGCATACAGTGTCTGCAGTAATCAATAGAGTTGGTTGAGGATCTTGTGCAAACTGGCTTTCACCTCCCAATTTTGATATAATCTCCATTGCCTAGTCAAATACAATTTACCACGATTAAAATGGTAAGTAGAATGTTTTACCATAAAAAACTGGTAAGTAGAATACATTAGCTTAGAAAATATGAACCGGTTACAAAACCCTAGATAGCTTGGAATATCACCTTGGCTCCAGCAAGAGCCACAACCAAATCTTCGGGCTTGTCTGTCCTAATAGCTTTCTCATCAATGTCTGCAGTCTTGAACCATGAAAATCCGAAGCCAACCTCAGTTTACGTACAAAATCCCACCAAACAAGTTAATCAAAATCTCCATATACATATATAAAGAAAAACATACCACGATGGTGTACTCATATCCCATCTTAGCCAGAATCCGCTTTCTTGCCATGGACTGAGAACCCAGAATCAGCTTCACGTTTGAGAGAATATTTTTACATCCCATTAGCCATTAAAACTTTTCCAATTCTCATCTTATACAAAAGAAATAAAAAAACATAGGCAAAAACCTTAAATCCTCTCTCCATCGCCTTCTTCGTCATCTTTGTGTTATGCTCTAAGCGGAATAGTGACGCTGGGAAAATTGCAAAAAATAACAAACACTTAAGAAAAATTTTGACCATGTCGACTCCACTCTTCCAATTTCAAAGAATATAACTCCAATTTCGCTTCAAATTTTTCTCAATCATTCAAATCTATATTATCATTTATGCAGCATTTTTGGAATTAAATCCTAAAGTTCTGAACTATTTACAGGACTGCCACTAGCTAATATTTATTTCCTTTGATTTTGGAGAGAGAGAGAGAGTAACGTTCGGATCAATATGAGTGGGCTTAAATCCAAGAGACATAGTAGTGGGCTTAAATATTTAAGAAAACATGGTGATTTCTTACAAAAATTCATACAAAATTTTAGGAAGTAAATATTAACTAACAAAACACTTCGTATTTATTACAAAAAGAGCAACAAGCAGGAAAGAAGAAGGAAATTTACTACGAAAAAGCGTGTCAGAAAGTGGAAGAAATTTTTCCTACCAAATACCTTCGGGTATAGGTTTGAAGGTAACGGCGTAGGAAAACGGAAGAGAATAGGAAGGAAAACATTTTATAGGAAAGTTGAAGGATCGTTGATTTGTAGGAAATTTATCGGAAAACATGTTTGTAAGATATTGGTAGGAAATTAGAAGTTTAATTTTTCTCTTGACGAAAACATGCTTTTTCCGACTATTTAACTTAGCGACTACAAGATATTGGTAGCATGTATGTTAGTCGTAACTTAGAGACTACTTTATAACAATACTAGTCGGTTGCCCGCGCTACGCGCGGGAGTTTATTATGTTGTTAATGAGTAATTGGTTCGTAGTTTATTATGGGTAAATGGAAGTGCGGTGGAAAATCATTGAGAAACGTGTGCTATTAGGGTTTTTACCAAATATAGATCTAGATGTTAATATTGTGGGTCCTTTTAATATGTTGGCCTGAAATTTGAAAATGCTTTATGGGTTTTGGGCGGATTGTTGTATTTTTCATTGTTTACATTATCTCTTTATATATTGTCATAATATATTTTTTTGTTTTACGTTTTTCTTTTTTGGATTTGTCGTAATTTATATCTCATAATGATCATTTTTATACTATTATATATTTGTTTATGATTTTATGTTTTATATATTTTTTCATTTTTTCATATGGAACAATTTTTAAATTTAACATATTAGTATAATTTACTTTATATTTAGTTTATTTCATTTAATAATGTTTTTATTTTAATTTTTTTGTTTTTATGAAATATAGTTCATTTTTTATTTTGTTTATTAGTTTAACATATGTGTTGTATTGGAAAAATTAGTTAAACTCATATTGGAAATCTTTACAGAAATATTATTTTTATTTTTACCTTTTTATACGTTTAAAAAAAATGAGAATTTATGTTTCGGTCCGACCTATCTCATTGTGTTTGTGGTGCAGGTAAATTGTGATCCGTGGAATCATGGCTAGGAGAGGAGGATGATCTATGGTCTCGGTTGTTATGTTTATGAATATGTTAATTGTTGTTGGAACCTGGTTTAGAGGCATGCTAGGTTGCTGGTGTAAATTGTGGTTATTGAATGATTGATTAATTAATATTATGATTAATTGATGTTAGTTTAATATGTTTCCGCTGTGCATGATGATTTATTGTTGGGTTAATTCGGTTGGGGTTAATTAGTAGGTATGGGACTATTATTTAATGAATTAAAAAAACGGGTCGGGTCTTTTCAATTTGGTATCAGAGCCCTTACGTTTCTAGGGCGAGAGTAAATTGGTTATTTTTAATGTGATATGTGAATTTCGTTGATGGAAAATGATGATGTGGATTGCATGCTGATTGATTTTTGTGTGTAATCAATTGTGTGAGCATGGAGACCTAGATCATCCTCTCGAGCCTTCAATGAGATTCCACGGTAAGTTGTGATGTTTTGTCTTTTCTCTAGTCGTTTGTTTTCCTAGTTTCTGCTCGTGGCAGTGTGGGAGGCTAGAGGTTGCGAGCGTGGTGCTCGAAGTAGTTATGTGGCTGTGGTGGTTGTAGTCCGGAGCGCGGGTCTTCGGTGGTGTTTTGTTGGAAATGGATTTCCGAGAAGTTAAGTTGGAGACTATTATGTAATACCCTGAGTGACGGGATGGTTTGTGAGTTGACTTGAAGAATGGTTATGGTGGACATTGCGATGTTGTATCTGGACTATGTGCGTATTTCTATTCGGGATGTGCTTAGAAACGTTATTGCTTGTTTGCTCTTAGGACGGTGGGTCCTGAACAACTCATGAGGAGATGGTGGTTCTCCTGAAGGGATGGTGGTTCTCCTAGATACCGATGGCTTGAAGGGCTGTGGTCCTGAGAGTGGTAGAGGAGATGGTGGTTCTCCTAGAGGGGATGGTGGTTCTCCAAAGGGGATGGTGGTTCTCCAAAGGGGATGGTGGTTCCCCTAATATCGGTATGGCTCTAAGGTCGTGACCTGAGAGTGGATGAGTTGGGAGCAAATAATTTATATAGCGTTGGTGTAAGCATAATGGCTAGATATAGACCTCGGAGGTTGATGGTGGTTCAATCTTGGATTTTGGTTGTGCTGACCGGTGAGGTCAGAGTTGTGTTGGCTGGTGGGCCAGTTTTGTGTTGGCGGGTGGGCCAAGGTTGGTGTTGGCCGGCGGGCCATGTTTGTGTCGAGCGGATGGTCAGGTTGTTAGGCGAACCGTTGCGATAGTGGTGAATTGCGTGTTACGAATAGGCGGTGTTGAAGGATTCGAGGACGAATCCATGTTAGTGGGGGAGAATTGTAACCCCGTGTTCTGGAAAATAATAGGAGACTTGAATGTGTATAAGAATTAGGGTGGAGTCGGTTTAATTTCGGTTGATTTCCTAAACTGGTCGATTTGTTTAATTGAACCAAAGGAGGTGTAATTAAAGTCGGTTTAGGTAAATTCTGGTTTAATAAGAATTAAACCAAAAACCCTAGTTTTATAAAGAACGCTTCTTCTCTCTTTCGTTTTGTCTTTTGTTTTGTGGCTGTTGTTTCTGAGAGTTGAGTTGAGAAAAGGAGAAGGAGAAGTTTACTTGTGAAAAGGAGAGTGTTAGCTTTGCTTTGGTGTTTAAGGCAAGAGAAGCAGATTCGTCACGTCCTGGTAGAATAGACTTACGATGTATCAATTCTTATCGAAAGGTAATGAATTTTGGTAGGTTTGTTCTTAAGGCGTGTAAGTTGATTCTCCTTTTTACAGAAGTGAATTCGGATTAATATTCAGTGAGTTATATGCAGTTTGGTGAGACGCGTTTTCTCTGTTGCGAACTGGGATCATCGGAGTTTGTAAGTGCGATCGTGATTTCATCGTTTCTCTGATCGGCACCAAATTTTGTGGGGATCGTCGTGACGTCTAAATCTTGCGTTTCACCGAAGGGATTAAGAAGTTAACGGTTGGTTTATGTTTTAGGGCTTCGTTTCTGTGGTTGTAGTTTTCTGATATTTCTGTCTATTTTGGTGCATAGAGATTTTGTTTGTGTGGTTTGTTGTAGGGCGTTGTTTGGCTGTTGCAATCGCTAGGAGAGTCTTTCCTGGTTGTTTTTGTTATTCAAATCACCTTGTTAAGGTGAGTGCGTGACCATGAGCTTATCTAAGCGATTGAGATTGAGTGACTTGTTTGTGATGATTTGTAGGTGAATTGGAAGTGTTATTGGATGTTTATCTTGTTGAATGGTTTGTTTATGTTATATATGTGGGTGTTATCTCATAGCTTGTGTGTATAGCTCGTAGATGGGAGGATCGCTCTCACTGAGTATTTGTGATAATACTCACGCATCTCATTGTGTTTGTGGTGCAGGTAAATTGTGATCCATGGAATCATGGCTAGGAGAGGAGGATGATCTATGGTCTCGGTTGTTATGTTTATGAATATGTTAATTGTTGTTGGAACCTGGTTTAGAGGCATGCTAGGTTGCTGGTGTAAATTGTGGTTATTGAATGATTGATTAATTAATATTATGATTAATTGATGTTAGTTTAATATGTTTCCGCTGTGCATGATGATTTATTTTTGGGTTAATTCGGTTAGGTTAATTATTAGGTATGAGACTATTATTTAATGAATTAAAAAAAAACGGGTCGGGTCTTTTCAATTATTTATATATTTGTTACTATAATCGATAATTAGTAAGTTTTTTTATAACTTTTAATCAATTACCTTTTTTAGTCTTATAATTTATAATATAAAAAAGACCTTTCATATTCTTTTTAAAAAAACTTATTTACATAGGTTTAAATCTTAAAATTAAATGATAAAATGTATAATTAATTTTAAAAATTAGATAATAAAATGAGGTGGATGATGATGTGGCTTAAGAAGAAGAGAGAAAAGCTAACTTTATATATATACTAGCAGTTGATCCGCGCTGCGCGCGGGAGGTTTATAGTTGTTAATTTTGTATTCATATTATGATATTTTATTAGTTTTTAATTGATTTTCAAAACATATTATAGTTATTTTCTCTTGAATTATTATCTTTCAATATTTAAATTTGGACTAAAAGCATTTTCTTTTTGATCATGTTATAAACTAATATTTCACTTTCAGTTTTATTTTTCCCCTTTAAAATTTTATATATACAATTACATAAATGTTGTTTTTATTCTACCATAAATTTAAAATTTACTTACATTCTTAAACTCAGTAACACATTTTAATTTTTAAACTATGATCAATTTAAAATGGAGTTGAATTATATTATTACCACTAACTAATAAAAAATGAAAGTATTTCTTATTTAACATTTCATTTATTTTCATAATTTATTTTTATTTATATAAATTTTTTATTAATTAAATAAGTAGCATAAATATGCACTAAATGAATGTCTTAAATTTATTTTAATGTAAAAAAAATATGGCTTAGGTGGATGCTTAGGTGGCATCATGAGAAGAGAGAAAAAGCTAACTTTATATATATATATATATACATAGATTGCATAGCAAACAAAAATAGCTAAATAATCGCTAAAAAGTTGCATATTCATCGCTATTTATGAAAATCAAAATTTTCAAATTTCAACCTCAAACATAAATCATAGACTCTAAATCTTGAACTTTCAATTCTTAATCTTTAAAAAAATAATTCATAAAGTATAAAAACAAGTTTTCAAAAAAAAAAGCATAAAAACAAAACATAACCATCATAACATCATATATATACAAATCAAGCTTTAAATCTTGTAAGAAAAGCAAATTACTATAATATATCCAAAAACTGAGTTCTAACACTTCAAACAAATAATAGTTTCTCAAATCTTAGATTTTTATCAACACTTTGTTTGTATTACATTGATGTTTTTTTTTAATAATTATCTTTTTTTTCATAGTTTCAATTTTTTAAAACAATTTAATAATAATTTATAATCGATTTATAATTGAGTTGTGTAATTTAATGAAATTTAAGTATTTCCTACCGTTTCCAGTCGAAGGAATGTTGGAGGGTATTTTTTTTGAAGGAAATTCGTAGGAATCAGGAGTGAAAACGTTCGTAGGAATTTGAAATGAATAGAGTTTTCGTAAGAAAATAGAAGGGAAACTTCTTTGTAGGAAATTAGAAGGAAAACGTTTCCTACGGAGGAAAACGCTCAGAAATACCCTTCGCTTTTCCTACGAAAATACCTACAAAAGTGCCTTCGCCGAGTTTTTGGTAGGAAATTTTCTACCAATATCTTACCATCTACGATTTCCTGCTTAGAATACCACCTTAGCTCCAGCAAGTGCCACAACCAAATCGTTAGGCTTGTCTGTCCTAATAGCTTTCTCATCAATGTCCGCAGTCTTGAACTATGAAAATCCCAAGCCAACCTCAGTTTAGGTACAAAATCTCACCAAACAAGTTAATCAAAATCTCCATACACATATATAAAGAAAAACATACCACGATGGTGTACTCATATCCCATCTCAGCCAGAATCCGCTTTCTCGTTTGAGAGAGTATTTTTACATCCCGTTAGCCATTAAAACTTTTCCAATTCTCTTCTTATACAAAAAGAAATAAAAAACATAGACAAAAACCTTAGATCCTCTCTCCATCGTCTTCTTCGTCATCTTTGTGTTATGGTCTAAGCGGAATAGTGACGCTGGGAAAATGGCAAAAAATAACAAACACTTAAGAAATTTTTTGACCATGTCGACTCCACTCTTCTAATTTCAAGGAACATAACTCCAATTTCGCTTCAATTTTTTCCGGTCGAAGGTAACGGCGTAGGAAAACGAAAGAGAATAGGAAGGAAAACATTTTATAGGAAAGTTGAAGGATCGTTGATTTGTAGGATCGTTGATTTGTAGGAAATTTATAGGAAAGCTTGTTTGTAAGATATTGGTAGGAAATTAGAAGGTTAATTTTTCTCTACACGAAAACATGTTTTTCCGACTATTTAACTTAGCGACTACAAGATATTGGTAGCAGATATGTTAGTCATAACTTAGAGACTACTTTATAACAATATTGCATAGCAAAAAAAAAATAGTTGCTAAATAATCGCTAAAAAGTTGCATATTAGTCGCTATTTAAGAAAATCAAAATTTTCAAATTTCAACCTCAAACCTAAATCATAGACTCTAAATCTTGAACTTTCAATTATTAATCTTTTAAAAAATAATTCATAAAGTATAAAAACAAGTTTTTAAAAAAAAGCATAAAAACAAAAAATAACCATCATAACCATCATATATATATATACAAAATCAAGCTTTAAATCTTGTAAGAAAAGCAAATTACTATAATATATCAAAAAACTTAGATCTAACACTTCAAACAAATTATAGTTTCTCAAATCTTATATTTTTATCAACACTTTGTTTGTATTACATTGATGTTTTTATTTATTATTATCTTTTTTTATAGTTTCAAATTGTTTTAAACAATTTAATAATAATTTATAATCGATTTATAAAGGAATTATGTAATTTAATGAATTTTAAATATTTCCTACCATTTCCAGTTGAAGGAATGTTGGAGGGTATTTTTTTGAAGGAAATTCGTAGGAATCTGGAGTGAAAAAATTCGTAGGAAATTTGAATGAATAGAGTTTTCGTAAGAAAATAGAAGGGAAACTTTTTTGTCGGAAATTAGAAGGAAAATGGACCAAAATCTCTCACGCCCTTTGACCGAAGTCTTTATACTCTCATACCCTCCTATGTTCTAACTACCCTTTGACCATATCTTGACTTAAATAAGGACCTATTTTGCCCCTCTTATTATTTGATTTAATTTAAACAAAAAAGAAAAAGAAAAATGGACATGGACTCCACTCGAAAATCTTCATCTTCTCTCTCCTTCAACCACGATCTCCTTCAACCTAATCCTCCATAGCTTAATCGACGAGCTCCTCCTCCATTAAACTCCATCGTCTCTCTCATCAACACGAGAAGCAACCCAACAACTGAGGTAATACACTTATTCAAAGACATTGTTAAATTAATAACTTGTTGGCATGAAGTGGAGTTGTTATGGATTGTATTTGTTCATCTCTATTGAACTATTCTCATTGTAGATTTGGATTTGATCCGATTTTTCTTATCCTCATTGTTAATTAGGGATATGAGTCGAATTGGGTCGACTATTTTTCATAATGTGTACATTGTAACAGTTCAATCGAATTGAATCGTAGGAATGTATTCAAAAATTAGTAGTGATACGTTGTAGTACAACTGGTAGAACTTGGTATAACTATTCGGGCATAACTTGGGATAACTATAATGGTAAAACTAGTATTACAAATGGTACTCTTTGGTATAACTTGGTATAACTATGAACACGACATAGATTATAATGTTAGTTTTCCTATTCTCTTTCAGGCCACAATGAATAAAAACCAACGAAAAATCATAATATATGATTATGGGGGATATTATGCAATAAGAGAAAATGAACCAACATGGAATTCAAGAGATAAAGTTCATCAATCTCTTAGAATGGAGAAAGAGGAGGTCACTTTTCTGCAGTGGTGAACAAGATATGTCGGAAGGCGAATGTTGATGAAACAACGACTGAGCTGAAATTGAGTTACGTTCCAAAATCAGTGGAGCCTAAGAGACCAATATACATATTTGATAATGATGATGTTATGTGTTATATGGATATGAATGAAGATCATTTCAAAGTTTTGCATGTCGAAGTCGTAAATCAGGGGTATGAGAAGAGTCGAGGAAGTGTAGGTTGTTCACTCAATGAGGAGCATATTTCAAGTAGTATAGCGACAGATGGGACCATGTTCTTTGATGAAAGCGAGCCGTTTGAACGTCATGAGATGGTGGAAAATAGTGATGGGAGAGATGGGAACATGATTCGTTATGAAGAAAAATCCGAAGAACGAGCAATAGTAGAAGATGGCACACATGTTGCTGAGATAACACCTTCTGAGATCACACCTTCCAAAATCACACCTGCTGCAGGATTACACCGGTTGTAAACTGTGTGTGGGAAGATGGTTTGGATGTGACTATCCGGCAAGAATTTGAAAGCAAGCAAACAATTAAAAATTTAGTTGAAAAAGCTGCGCATAAGAACTGTTTTGAGTTTGTTATACTAAAGTCGGATCCTATGTTGTTTGTGCTTAAACACTCAGAATTTAGAAAGGGTTGCAAGTGGGCTTTACGAGCAGCAAGAAATGGGAATGCAGACAATTTCTCGGTCAGAACTTACACTAAGATACATACATGCTTACGGTCAGAAACAAGTACAATAAGTACAAAAAGGAGAGGCACATCTCATTTAGTTGCATCTGTTTTGCGTGAAGATTTCCCATGTCTGAGAGACACTCCAACTCCAAAAAATCTCATCCCTTTGGTTCAATCAAAACTTGGTATCAAAGTGTCATACTCAACCGCAAATAGAGGGAAAAAGCTAGCTGCAGCAGACCTTCGTGGTACCGCAGAGGATAGTTATAAGTTGGTTTGTTGTTATATGCACATGTTGGAGAAGATGAATCCATGTACAATTTCATTTGTTTAATTGGATGAAGCCCAGAGGTTTAAATATTTCTTCTTCGCCTTGGGGGCGTGCATTGAAGGCTTCAATCCCATGAGAAAGGAGATCATTGTGGATGCAACCAGTATTAAAAATGTATATGGTGGAGTACTAATCGTGGCTTCAGCTTAAGATCCGGATCACTACCATTATTCGATTGCATTTGGTGTAGTTGATAGTGAGAATAATGCAAGTTGGACTTGGTTTTTAAGTAAATTGAAATCAGTTATACCAGATTGTACTGAGTTGGTCTTCTAATCTGATAGACATCAAAGCTTGATCATGTCAATAAGTACGGTGTACCCGTTGTCTCACCATGGGTATTGTATTTATCACTTGTCTTAGAACGTTAAACTGAGCTGTAAGAACGTGAACAGAGATCTAGTTGCGACGACGTTCATGCAAGTTGCGAAGGCTTACACCGAGTCTGAGTTTTAGAAACTATATGCTGATTTCATTAAAAGGTTTTCAGCCGCAGGTACTTATCTTGATAAACACATAGGACAACATAAATGGGCGCGATGTTTTTTTCCAGGAGCTAGATACAACATTGATACAACTAATACAGTTGAATCTATTAATGGTGTCTTTAGATTCTTAAGGGCATACGCGTTACTACCAATGATAGATGCGATTATTGCTAAACTATATGAATGGTTTAATTAATATAGGAAAATATCCTTAGAGACACCAATAGAGCAAAATTTAGTACCTTTTGTTGAGAAGTTGATGCACGATAAATGTTCAGACGCAAAGCTCTTACCGGTGACTGAACTAAACAGTTATTTTCTGGATTACAGTGTGACTGGAGTTGATGGTAGTAGTTATGTGGTTGATCTGAAAAACAAAACTTGCTACTGCAAGCAATTTGATATTGATAGATATCCGTGTGTGCACGCTATTGCTGCGGCCATGGAAGCAGCAAAAAACGCTGGTCATGAGATCAATGAGATCCAATTGCATGAGCTGTGCAGTAAGTATTATTGGATAGAGCAGTGGGCATTGGGATATTCAAGGACAATATATCCAGTTCCTATCATGTCTATGTGGATCGTTCCGGACGATGTGCGTGCTTTGGTTGTCTTTCCTAAGTTTTATGTCAAAAAAGAGGAAGGAAACCAACAAAGAGTATTAAATCAACAGGAGAACATGGACACAGGAAGAAGAAATCTACCATCGCAAGCTGGTTTGAGAGCCAGGGTTCCCGAAGTTGATTGATTGTATTTTGATGTAATATCCTATTTGAACAATTAGGTACAACTTGTTTTTGTTTTGGTACAACTTGAATAATTTAAACTTGATTTTCGGACTTTCTTAAGTCAACTTGTTTTAATGATATTTAAATTGATATCTATTTTTAAATAAAAATCTATATTGTTAAATTTAAAAAATATTTAAATAATCGAAAATAAGGGTTTATTTTAATTAATCAAATAATCAGGATTTATTTGAATTTTTTATAAACATGAATTGGAATTAAATATAGAAAACTTAATAAATATAAATATGAATGAATTATAATTTCATCATGTTATCCAATATATATATAATAAGGAATAATGGTTTTTATTATTATATTTCACTATAGATATCATCATATTCTAAGTTTATCAAGAAATACCTTACACATTAAGGGTCACTTTCTCATTGCAAAGAACATATAATTAGAAAAGCTAAGAAACAAATGTTTTCAAAAATATTTAGGCATGTACATGTGGTATATGTACCTCAATTAATTAAAATCATGTGTACAACTAAAAATATTTCTTTTAAACATTGTATAACTAATTAGAACAAAAAAACGAAAAAGTACAACTAGCCAAAACGAGTACAACTTGTAACTTTGGTACAACTAGTGCATTTTGGCGGCTACACATGTGTCTTTTGGCGGCTATACGTGTCTAATGTGGATCACGTGTTTGTTGTTTGGTCCTTTTTTATTTTTCCTACAGTTAAGAATTTTCTAAAAAATTCAGGTATCGGGAATCAGGTATAGCTGGGGTTTACTGTATGTCCTCTCTTTTACTCTCTTCAATTCTTCTCCTTCTTTCTTTCTAGGTTGGTTTGCGATTTCGTCTTTTTATTTTGGGTTTGCGATTTTTGAGAATGAGCTGCGAATCTGGAGCATCGGGAATCCTTATTACCACAGTCGATCCTTTCTTCTTGCTTATGATCTTCACCCTTTTACCTTGGTGAGCATTAAGAACTTCTTCTCTTTCCCTCTTTTCTCCTTTCTCCTTAGCTTGTTCTTTCTCGCCATGTTCCATCTCAACATCTTCCTCTCGGCCTTCTTCAGTTGTCCCAAGTTGTTCTTTCTCTTCTTCAATTGTACCAAGTTGTTCTGTCTCTTCATTAGTTGTACCAAGTTGTGTTTTCTCTTCATCAACCTTCTCCTTCTTGGTCTCGGATTTCTCAGCCTTTTCCTTCTCAGTTTGTTCCTTCTCAGCATGCTCCTCGTCAGCCTTAGCCCTCTCAGCCTTATCAGCTTGCTCCTTGTCAGCCTTATCCTTCTCGGCCTTAGCCCTCTCAGCCTTATCGGCCTTAGCCCTCTCAGCCTTATCCTTCTCGGCCCTAGCCTTCTCGGCCTTAGGCCTCTCAGCCTTCTCGGCCTTTGCCCTCTCAGCCTTCTCGGTCTTAGCCCTCTCAGCCCTCTCAACCTTCTCGGTCTTAGCCCACTCAGCCCTCTCAGCCTTCTCGGCCTTAGCCCTCTCATTCTTTTCGGTCTTAGCCCTCTCAGACTGCTCCTTCTCGGCCTGCTCCTTCTCAGCCTGCTCCCTCTCAGCCTGCTCCCTCTCAGCCTGCTCCCTCTCAAACTTATCTTTCTTAGTCTGCTCCATCTCAGCTTGCTCCTTGTCACCTTCATTCGTATCTCCATTGCCACCTCCATTCATATCTCCAACACCTTCATTCGTATAATATTGATTTTCACCTGAGGCCCATTTCACATAGGATTCCACAAATTTAACTCTGTTATCCAGATTTGTCTCCCGGGTGGCCAAATCTTGGTTGTAAAGCTCTTCAAACCATATTGTCTTCTCTTCATCAATTAAACACTTGGTCCAACTATAAACAACGGGATCATCTACATCATTATAGCGACTCTCTTCATCCATGATACGACCTAAAAGACGTTTCTCACGTGATGATGGAGTCAAGATACTCTCAGTATCCTATGAAAATAAAACAATATAATGTCAAATCAACCCAGTAATACCAAAAATAATTGAATAAGATAAGTATGAGACTATTGCTAACCTTAGTTGTACCAAGTTTGTCACAAATTTCCTTCAATGAAAACCTTTTCATTTTACTTGCTTTAAATTTCATCTTGCACATCCGAGGACGATGACGGTGTGCATGTGCATTACTAACACCTTCTCGGAAATTTTCCTTAAGAACAGGAATTGCCTCAAAAGCAAGAACCTACACACAACACAAAATCGTGGACTTAAACCTCGATTATACCAAGTTATACTAAGTTGTATATTTTCATAATTCAAGAATTACCTCCAACGGAATGACGAAACTAGGAAAGACCCATTGGTTTGTGCTCAAAACTCCACCAAAGTGCTTTATACAATGAAAGATGTCCTTCATGTTCTTATCAAAAGTCAAACGACCCCAAGGGAACGTTGTACATATTTCCAAATCATCAATAGCCCTAAGAAAGAATGGCTCTACGGATGGTGCTGGATTCCCTGGCTTCTTCTTTCCTACGAGCACACTACACAAGAAGTAGAGGACCGCCATCTTCACTTGATCTAGAGAAGCTTTTTTCATCGATAAAAGCTTTGCTTTGACATCATCATATCTTATTGTTGTGCCAACACCAAAATTCTTACCAACAAACTCAGTACTTACCAACAAATTCTTACCAACAAATTCTTACAAAAGTCAAAGGGTATCATAGATTTTAGTCAGTCAAAAGGTATCATAGTTTCCTACGTATTATTTGAAGGAAAACGGTCAGAAATACCATTCGCTTTTCCTACGAAATACCATTCGCTTTTCCTACCATTTCTCTGTTCATATATTATTTTTATCCTTTTACTTGGGTGTTTCATTTTTTGTTTCATTCTTTGTTTCTTCGAATGATTGAGATAATCTAGTGGTTATCAATATTTTTCTTATCACTATTTATAATACATATATGCTTAGCTAATGGGAGATTCCCAAAAGAGTAAGGAAAAGGGTTCATACAGTAAGTGGGGACTAGAGGAGACACAAGTGCTACTAGAGTTACTTGTTGATGCAGTTCACCCAAACTGGCGTGATTATAGGGGTAACTTTAGCAAGCTTACGGTGGAGCAAAAATATTTACCAGTTCTCAATGCCTAAGTAGATGCAAGTACTTGAGAGGCCTATACCAAAAAATTTTAGACCTTCAACGCTTAAATTCTGGAATTGGCTGGGATCCTGAAATGAAAATGTTTATCGCTTTGGATGAAGTGTGGGAGGAGTACTTAAAGGTATATGTTTGATTATATAGTGTTAATCATAGAAAATTAAATTTATAAAACATATTGTATGAGTAATATATATATATATATATTTCTTTAATTTATAGAAACATCCTAAACACAAACATCTACGATATGATTCAAATGAAAATAGTGGCTTAGCTACCGGTGGTTCTGCAATTGGAAGGGCTGATACCATTGATGCTCGAACTAGAGTTGGGAGAGTAAAAGAGTGAGAGAGAACATCATCCGTGATGAAGCTATTGAATAATCATCTCAAGAGCCATTAACATCAACAGACTATGATACAAACAGAATATTTGGTATCTTCAAATCCCGTTTTCTGATTTTTAAGTCAGCACCGCCTTTTCCTTTTAAGGTACAAGCAGAACTTGTATTAGCTTATGCTAGTTTCACTACAAGAAAACAAGGTTGTAACTGACGGGCTTACCAACAGAAATATTTCCATCGGTAATTACTAACGGATTACCGACGGATTATTGACGGAAAACGTATCCGTCGGTAATCCGTTGGTTATTAAGCGAGGGTCACGTCCCGTCAGTAATCCGTCGGTAATCTATCCATATTACTGACGGATTACTAATGGAATTGAGTACGTCAGTAATCCACCAATTTTACCGACGGATAACTGATGGAATGTTACCGTTTTGATAATTTGTTTGAAATCCTTCGGTATAGAGATACGTTAATATAGCCGTTTTATAGCCATTTAAATCTTCAGAATAACCGACGGATTACCGACGGATTATTGATGGAAACGTGATTTATTTTCCCTTCAAATACCCAAGCCACTCATTCTTACCATCTCACTTCTTATTGTATGAGAAAAAAATACGAAAATGGATGGACGAACCGATGTTCGATCCGGAGTCGAATCAACTGAGAGATAAGTACGCTCGTGGTGTAGGAGAATCCATGGAATTAGCTTGTCAACAACGGAGCGCCAAAACAACCGGTAAGTTGAAATATCCATGTTTGCTTTGTCAAAATTCTCATAATATTAGGATTGATTTAGTATGGGGTCACCTTTATGCCAATGGTTTCATGCCGGGTGACAAGATTTGGTTTCTCCATGGTGAAAGACCCGAGTACGGTAGTTCTAGCGAACCATATATTGTTGATAGCGTAGAGGAACCTAGAACGGAAGTAGATTATGGTGTAGGTACTGTTCAGATGGTGAATGATGTGTACAAGGAAATATGCAGTCAGTGGGAGAAAATGTTGATAGGGCAAAGGAACCTATTGCAGAGGCACAAAAGTTTTTTTCTATGTTAGACGCATCTAAGCAGCCGTTACATGGAGGATGTAGAGAAGGTCATTCGGCTTTATCATCTGCGAGCAGATTGATGACGATAAAGACGGACTACAATTTGGCTGAGGAATGTGTGGATGCGATAACCGATTTTGTTAAAGACATTTTGCCTGAAGATAACAATTTTCCTAGTACATATTAAGAGATTCAGAAGTTGGTCGCTGGTCTTGGTTTGCCGTATCAGATGATTGATGTTTGTGAAGATAATTGTATGATATTTTGGAGGGAAGATGAAAATAGGACAAGCTGTCAATTTTGTCATAAACCGAGATATCATGATACATACGGTAGAGTTCCAATTCCTTATAAGCGTATGTGGTATTTACCGATAACAGAGAGGTTGAAGCAGTGATATCAATCTGAGCGTACGACGGGTTCAATGAGATGGCATGCAGAGCATATATCGGCCGGAGAGACTACGCATCCTTCAGATGCAGAATCCTGGAAACATTTTCAGTATGTGTATCCGGATTTTGGGTATGAGCAACGAAACGTGTACCTAGGATTATCTACAGATGGTTTCAGCCCATTTGGAAAGCATGGAAGACAATATTCGTTGTAGCCAGTGATCGTAACATCTTATAACTTACCGCCATGTTTGTGCATGCAGCGAGATTTTTTGTTCCTTTCTATCCTTATTCCCGGTCCAGCTCACCCAAAGAGATCTCTTGATGTGTTTCTCCAACCACTGATATATGAGCTGAAAATGTTATGGGATCATGGTGCTCCAGCATATGATGTATTAACCAAGGAGAACTTCCAGATGCGTGCGGTACTTATGTGAACTATTAGTGACTTTCCAGCTTATGGAATGTTATCTGGATGGACAACTCATGGAAGGTTATCTTAACCGTACTGTCAAGATAACACAGAAGAAAAGGTGGAAGAAAGAAAAACCGCCAAAAGGGGTGAATCAAGATGGGTTAGATGGTTTGGTAAATTATTGGGGCGAACCAGATACAATGTCACGTGCCAAACAAAATTCTTTGAACAGAAGAAGCGAACATGGCGGATTAGGCATGGCTACTCACAATTCTGGTCTGATAAGCGGCTCTACTCGAGAACGCCAACTTGTAAGTTATAATTTTTTTGCACAACGAATCCTGAAATCTATATACAACTTAAATTCTTCGTTTAGAATATTAGGGATCGTGTTGTACCCGACCATCTTGTTTTGATGTAGGAAATGCACACCAACAAAAAGACAAAACAATTACAAGATGGTCGAGCTAAGATAGTTATTGAGGCTTTAAGGAGGCGGAAGGAGGAGATTTAACTTTCCCAACCTATTGTACAATTTGCTGTTGGATCGGAGTCTACTGTTGAATTGGGACGAGAGAAAGTCAACGAGATTTTTTTCTAGGTAATATGTCTAGATTTCTTCAAGTTTACTTGACTTTATTGTAAAATATTTAAATTAATTTTTTTTCTCGTTCATCGGGTTACTCATATAGTCCCATTCAAGAGTTCCAACAAGCTATGAAAGACAAAGATGAGTGGATTGCGGCTTTGGAGAAGCAAATGGAAGAACAAAGAGCAGAGAACAAGAAGAGAGACGAGGACCTAGCAGCGTTCATGAGCGAGATGCGATCGAAGACGTCGTCTTCTTAGATTTTTATAAATTTCAGTATTTTCAAGAATAAATTTCTAGTTTTTCAAACAATTTTGTGTTTTCAGTTTTAAAAATATTTACTAAAAATTCTGAATTTAGAAATTTAAATATTTATGCATTTTTATTAATTAATTTAGATTTTTAATTTAAATAATTTACCTAAAATTAATTTTTTGAGATTCCGTTGGTAATCCGTCGGTTTTGATAGAGAATGTTGGACCTTCATTTTCGAGATTCCGTCGGTTATGATGGAAAATATTTTCCGAAATTCCGTCGGTAATCCGTCGGTTATGACGGAGAATATTGAATTTTTGTTTTCGAGATTCCGTCGGAAATCTGTCGGTGAATTACAAATTTATTGACGGATTACCGACAGAATACTAATGCCACGATCTGTCGGTAATCCGTCGGTTAATAGGCAGTCGGAAATACGTCGGTAATTACCGATGATTTACAGACGGATTAGTTTTGCCCTTACAAATATTTTATATTACATCTAAAACCTAGCAATGACGACAGACTTACAATATTATTATAACTCTAGTATAGGCCCAACTGGTAACACGAGTTAACAAAATCGAGTTGCAATAAGTATTACGATTCGATGTAGGCTCCGACTGGTAACATGAGTTATCGAACTCGAGTTGCAGTAAATATTATGATTTGATGTAACTTGAAGTAAATATTATGTGGCAAAAACAGCGGATTGATTTAGTGAATCGCTGTAGAAATATGATTTATTAATCTTACAAAAATCATTGACTGGTGACATTTTTGTAGTAGATGTTGCAGTATGATGTTCATTAAATAAGTTTAATTTAATATAATTGATTATTATAATTATAATTATAATTTAATTAACTTATGGATATATAAAAATTTAAAATATATCAATTATAAAACTAATTTTAATATATAAAAGTTAATCAAATTTTCCTGTAACATAGCAAATTAAAATAAAAAATACGTCCCTAATATTTGCGGTCTTATATATCATATTTAGATCTATATCTATTTTCATTTCAAATGAAAATAAAATTAATAATTTGGCAACATATAAGTAGTTTATGAAAATATTTAAGAACAAAATATTAAATAAAATAAAATAGTAAAACTAATTGTTTTATTGATATATGAATTAAATAAAAACAGAAGATAAATAAATTCTTGTATTAATAACTGAAATTTCTTTTTTAATAAATAATAAGTTTTAAAAATGAAATGAATGGATACTTCAACTATACCTCATAGAATTTTCCATGATGTTGCATAATCTTTTGAGTTAGCAATTTTACAAAGGACATAACTCAAATTCGTTATTCAAGCATAACACATTGTAACTCAA